CCGCCCGCCCGGTCGCCTGTGTGGACTTGGCGGCGGCGACAGTAGGAGCCCATGGATCACCCAGTAAAGGCCATCGACGTGACCAAGAAGCGGTCGGGCCTGGGCCGGTGCCGGCATTTCTTCTGGCTGGGAGTCGTCTTCGACATGGTGGGCGTGGCAGTGCTGTTCATCGGCCTCTTCGGCGACCTGATCTTCTATGACATGCTGCTCTACCTGGGCTCCATCATCATCTTCCTCAGCCTGCTCTGGTGGGTCTCCTGGTACACCGGCAACATCGAGCTCTCCCCGGGGGAGGCGGCGCCGGCGCCCCCGCACGTGCGGGCCTCCACCATGGCGCACGCGCTGCGCCAGAGCCTCAGCCACCGCTTCTCCTTGACGATCCAAAGTGTCTCCAACAACTTTGTGCGGATCCATCGGCGGCGCTCCCGCAGGGTCTTTCAAGGGATGGCCACCCTGACCCCAACCGTCTCGAGCCAGGTAGAGGAAAAGCTGCAAAAGGAAAACAAGACCAAAGAGGAAACGACTAGTGTCAGGGAGACGGGTGACCCTCAAGGCTTTTGCAAAGGGAATCTGGGCCTCAGACCTGAGGATGACACAAGCACAGAGGCAGCTGGCTACCCAAGGGCTGATTCTGATGCACTGTGGTTGGGTCAAGGCCTCTCGATTCCCATGGTGCAGCCTGTGTCCTCTCTAGACAAGTCTCTGCCCTCCATCACCCAGACCTCTGAGAGCCTGCCTGTAGGCCCCTTGGCCTCTACTACTCAGAGTCTAGCCAGTTCTGCTTCTAGGACCCAGCCTGCAGTCCCCGAGGCCTCTCAGAGCCATCCCCTGAGTGCTGAGCTCTCTCAGAATCACTCCGTGGAGCAGGTGGCCTCTCAGAGCCACCCACTGGTGCCTGTGACCTCTCAGAGTTACCTCAAGTTCCTTGTGGCCGCTGAGAGCCACTCTGTGGTGCCTCTTGCCTCACAGAGCTCCTTCTTGGTACCTATGGCTGCTGGGAATCATCTTGAAGACCTTGTGCCCTCTCAGAACCACCCTGTATTGCCTGGGACTTTACAGAGCCAGGTCCAGAATCTTCCTCTGGCCTCTCAAACTCAGCCTTCAACTGTTCAGGATTCTGAAACCCAGGCTCAGGGTACCAAGGGCCCCATGATGCAGCCTTTTAAGACTGTGGATTCACAGATAGTTCAATCTGCCCAGGACTTTCAGGCTATGCTTCAAACCCAGCAGAGCAGCTCATTAGTCCAAGAGAGTTCTCTAACTCATTCTTCTGGTAGCCTGGAGGGTTCTAAGAATCCAGTTGCTCAGGATTTTGAGATTCCGTCACTACGGGGTCAGAAACTACCTAAAGAGCTCCCTGACACCACATCAACTGTCCCTGAGGCTGCAACTCCAGCCACTGAGGCCCAGCAGTCTCTCTCCACCAAGAGTGCTCCATTCTCAGAGACAGCAAAGAAAATTCACCCTCTCTAGTAGGGACTAGACCCAGTCTTTTGAGTGGTTGCTCAGGCCTCTGCCAAGTAAGTGTCTTTGGAGGAAGAGTCACTTATATTAGTCCTTTATTGTTTCCAGGTCCATTTTCTGGTGGCTTCCTCAGTCCCTACTGTCTGAAAAAAATAAAGTTAGTGGGAGTCAAGTGGCCTTGTCTGTCAGGGCTTAGCTATTTTGAATATTGGTCGATTTTTTTTAAAACCTAGTGTTCTGGACAGATGAGTGCTGTTAAGGTTTTGCTTCCCCTGCCAGGTAATGAAATCCATTCCTCTTACTTGGGCTTAGTGGAGAGAGAAAGTGGCAGAACTTTTGGGAGCTGTAAGATCTGAGGGTAGCTGTGGTGGTGGAGGGTATTTGGATTCTGCAAAGTTTCTGAAAAAAGATGATTTTAGGTGGTACTTGGTCCTGGCATTTAAATGACCTTTGTGCCTTTGGGTGGGTAAGTTACTCCCTTTTCAATTCTTTGTCAATCCTTTTGATTTTATCAGGGAGAACATCCAGAATTTGGGTGATGTTTGACATCTATCTAATGCTTCAGTAGGCAACAACTACACCAAGCGACAATAACATCTTTATTCACAAAGATATTTCAGTGAGTAACTTCTGCTTATGCCAAGTGATATTGGTGTCCTGTTTACAATAGTGATGGTTGCATTTTGAAATACAGTGATTCAGGACCAGCAATTAGCGTAATGGCTATGTTGCTGGACTCCCATGTAGCCGACTGTGGTTCGAATCCCAGTCCCCGTAGCTTAAACTCATGCTGGGAGCATGTGCCTGTGTACCCAAGATCCCGAGAGGAGAATGGAGGAGAAGGGATTGTGGTGTGGCCATCCCCCAGGGGGTGATTTCTCACTTTCTGTCTCTCTGTCTCTTTCTGTCTTTCTGGTGAGCACACATGCCCTATAGCAAAAACTCTCAAAAAAAACCCAAAAAAACCAGTGATTCAATTGAAAGGTAAAAATGAATTGTACAAGCAAAACTTTAGTGACTCTGAAGTTTGGGAAACATTTGGTTATTTGTAGTAGTTATTTGTATTAGCTTTCTACTAAATCATAAGATCCTTTGTACTGTTTAATGAATTTATGGGTAAAGCTGTTGTGGATGAATTCCACTTAACTCTCCAACCCCTTGTCAATTATTAGAAAGGTAGAAAAGGTCATGTGATAGTCCGAATTGGTGACCCTGCTTTTCCATTAAGTAGTGCTGTTAAAATGGTATATATTGCTGAGAATTCCCTGGTTTTTCTCCAATCCTGTTCCAAAAGTTACCTGCCCTAGGGTATGGGACAGAGTAATATGTTATGCGCTTGTTGTTTAAACTCTTCCAACATACTATCCCAAGAAGATACTTGTCCTTACTTCATACTGTCTAGTTTCATTTCCACTGAGGGAGCAGTTGAAAATTAGATGGAAGTTAGGAACTCTATTTCCTCAGTTTTTTCCAATTCACCTTTAAGAGAATGTAGTTACATTCATTCTCTCTCTCTCTCTCTCTCTCTCTCTCTCTATATATATATATATATATATATATATATAGTATAAGTATATTTAGGGGTGCTCAATGGAGGAAGACAGACAGTGAGAGGGAAAGTGAGAAATCACCTCCAGAGGATGGGATTTGAACTGCAGTCGACCATGTGGCAATCCAGCACCCCTAACCACCATGCCACCTGCTGGCCTCCAATAATGTTCATTTCTATTTAAAAAAAAAAAAAAAAAGACAAGAGCCAAATACCAACAAGCCATAATTCCAGAAAGAAAGGACTTAGTATAATTGCAAGAGATCATTCTTTCTCCCTTAATTCTGTTCTGTCAGGTAATTTATATGATTGAAATAATTCTCCATGCAGTTCTTTTTTTTTTTTTTTTTGAGAGGTTTTTGATATAGGGCACATGTGCTTGCTTGCCAGAAAGACAGAGAGAGACAGAGAGACAGAAAATGAGAAATCACCCCTAGGTAGATGGCCATGCCACAATCCCTTCTTCTCCATTCTCCTCTCGGGATCTTGGCACGCACACACATGCGCTCAGCATGAGTTTAAGCCACCAGGGCCGGGACTCAAACCAGGGTCGACTACATGGGAGTCCAGCAGTGTAGCCATTACGCCATCTGCTGGTCCCCTCCATACAGTTCTTGGAGACTTAATACTTAACTAAGTGCCAGGAGTAAGGTAGACCTTCCCATCAGAAAGCATTGTCACTTTGTTCTCCAACTTGAAGAACTCTAAAGAGGATAGAATTTTAGGCAATGAAGGACTTGGTGGGGTAGCTACTTAGCAGACCAGTGGAAGAATTATTTTTTGACAAGAAGAGCCATTTGGAATTCTTTAAATAATTAGTTAATTGACCAGGCATTTATTGAATCTCTAGCAAGTACTAGGCATTGCTTTAGGTAGTAGGGATTCAGAGCTAAATAAAATGTCCTGTTCTCAAGGGAAACATATAGGAATAACTACCACAGTGTGATATGATCCATGTCTATTCAAAGTTCTTTGAGAATACAGGAGTGGCCTGGGTAAGAGATTGAGTTGAATCCTAAGGTGAACATTCATGGCTCATTGGGAGAGGATAGTCTGATGCCATAGTCAAGGGTGCTGGGCATTCGGAGGGGAAAGAGGTGGGGGGGTAATGTGGGGTGTCTGAAGGTGAAATTAGGGAGGTGTACGAGGGGCAAGATGGTGAAGTGTCTTTCCAGGGAATGCCATTGATACTGTAAACATTGGGAAACCTTTGAGGGCTTTTTAATAGGGTAGAGTTGTATTCATAGTTTCCAGTTCTACCTGTGGCCTCTGTTGTAAAGATATGGCAATAGGCCAGTAATTGCAGTTTAATTGCTAAAGGCTCTCTCATTTAGTTCTAAGCTGAAAACAGACCTCTTAGACTTAGCAACAGTTTCCAGCCAAAGAGTAAGCTCCATGGGTATTCATCTTGAAAAACACTCAGGTATTCATTCACTTGTGCATAGCAGATGCCACATAGATGCTATCATGTAGAATAAACACCAAATGCTAAAACACATTTTTGTATGTTGGTGGTTAGTCTTATCTAAAACAGGGGTCGATAGATTTTTTTTCCTCTGTAAAGGCCAAGATAGTATTTCAGATTTTGCAGGCTAACGGCAAAAAGCAGGGTTATTTTGTGAATACTTATGTAACCATGAGAGACATAACTGCTCCACTTTACCCTGTTTTCCTGGAGTAGTCTGTTTTGTTCCTTTGACTCCAGTTGCATTAGCTAGAATCATTTACTTGACCAAGAGCCGCTGTTCTGAGGAAGGGGGGTCTAGCTGGGAAGATCTGCAGCTAACATAGTCAATTTCACTTTGCCCCAGTGACATCCAGATCTTGGCTCACCTTTCTTCTAGAATATCCAGTTCTCACTTTAGTTTGCTGGCTTGAGTGGTTTGCTGAGTTTCTTACTCCCAGATTGAGATTCCAGTTTTTGGTGTCTGTCTGTCATTTGCCAACAGTGGAATCCTCAAAGTATAGATGGTGATGTCCAGCTCCTGGGAACCTGACCAGAGAGGCAGGCACTGGGAGGAACAAAGGTGGGACTAATGCTACAGTTTGGCCTTTGAGGCTCACATTGACAGCCCTCAGCAGTACCAAAACTCGAAGAGGCCTACGGTCTACTGGCATGTAGTGGGAAGAGGTCAGAGATGCTGTTAAGTATCTTACAATGTGCAGGCTAGCCCCTCCCATTCACACAGAACTACTAGAGGTGCCTGAAAAACCCTGGTTTACAATGACGAAAGGGAAAAAAAAACCTTGTTTAGTTTATGAGATACTTGAGATCTTATTTTAATACTCAGGTAACTCATTATTTTATATAGTATCTTCTCTACCAGACCATAAAAATCTTATCTTGATTATTCTTTATATCCTCAGTTTGCATCATCTTTGAATCAACACACACATATTGAGTGTTTATTAATAATCACAGTTAACATTTATTGGATGTTTCTAAGACACTACACGTTACTAAATGATTTACATGTATTTGTCACAACAGTTGGAGTTGGGTGCCATTATCTCCACTTCTAAGACAGCACATTTGATATTGAGAGGCTAGATAATTTTTCCGGTGTCATACAAATCAAAGTGCAAGAATACAGGGGTACTTCAAAATTTCATAGAAAAAATGGAATTCAAGTATGAGTTTATTTTGGTATGAGGTTTAAAAAACTGTCTATACTTTCTTTATAATATGCATTTTCCATGACGTTTTTGAAGGCTCCTTAAAGATTTACAATTGATGTATAATATGTAGTAAGGTGTATACTATAAGCTTTCCTTCTTAAGTCTGTTCATTGAAACTTGAGCTGTAATACTCCAGATCAATCTCAGGGTTACTTCTCCAAAGCTTACTGACAGGAAAAAAACAAGAATCAGCACTTGTTCAGTCTTCTTGTTTCACTCTAGTTAACCATTCATACATATATTATCTCAAATAAAAATGACTTTTTCTTTCCAGAACTCACCAGTGTTTCTTCAGATGTAACTGCTGACCTTATAAAAGCACAAATCTTATTTTACTCTTGTTTTGGGAAACTTCACCTGAAGTCCTGACCTATCTCAGATCAGCAGACTTAGACTGTCTCTGCCAAGTATACCTGCTTCAGTGTTGGAAATAATCTTCCTGTTTCAGATAATAATTTTATTGCCAGAATTACAAGCCATAATAAACTGTGTTATTCCAAAGGAGCTTTGTCTTAAAATAAATTGGTTAAAAAAAAAGACTGCTGGCTCAGCCACTGTGGCATAGTGGTAACAAAGGCCCTGAAGACTGGAAGTCATGGTTGACTGCAAGTTTGGATCCTCCCTGGCTTGGCCTGAAGACATACCAGGTGGATGCAGGCACCCAGGAGTGGGAGGGTGAGGAAAAGGGGATGGCAATGTGGTAAGACCCTGTCAAGGGTACTTCTCTCTCTCTCTCTCTCATATGTATGTGTGCACAGTCATTAAAAGACTTATTTTGTGAAAGCATTACAAATAGAAAATTTTGTCTCATACTCCATGTGAACTTGTATGACTTATGTAAGTAAAAGTCCCACAAAAATGGACATTTTTGCAACTCCTTATATTTAAGGATATTTTGTGACTTCATTATGAACTAGCTATGAAAGGATAACACAGTCGATGCGTTACAATATGCTACAATTTATATGTATATGTTCACAACTCTGAGTTTCCTGTTTTCCCCAAGGATTTAAAATCTGATTTGATTGCATATTTTAATAATAATCTAATAAAAATTCATTGAGGACTGCCCTTCTATGTTCTTTCTTTTTTTTTTTTTTTTTTATATTTTGTCAGTCTCTTTATTTGAGAAGTCTACTACATCAACTGTCTATACTCACTTTTTTATTTAAAGGACTATTTCAGTGAGGAGATTATTTCAAAATAGAGACCATAAGAAATAAGAATGTGAATGAAGAGCAGAAGGATTTCTCATGGCAGGCAGGATAAAGTAACAACCACTTTGGAGAGTATGAGGAAATAAGGATTTCTTACTTGACTGCCTCGTAAATATTGTTGGAAGTGTGTCCTGATAAGGCATCATGTAAATTTCGAATAAAATAATCTCTGTATTCTTCTGGAAGTGCCATAAATGTTCCACCCATCACAATAAACTCCACTTTATCCACACTGTGGCCAAGCTGTTTTAACTGAAAAATACATTTAAAAAATGATCAGCATTAGAAAGATACAGGAAAGTACCCTAAGAGGGTATTGCAAATCTCTAATTTTGTTTTGCAGTGTTTTCATGAGTACAGTTTAAAAATGAGAACCCACTAAACATATTTAGCTAGTCCTGTGTGTAAAAAAATAGACTCAAATCTAAAAGAAAAAATTAACCTCAAATCAAGAGAATTAAATAGTAAGAAACTTGACTTCTGTACAAACACAATTAAGTGAAATTTTATAAACACAATATAAGCTAGAAAATTTTAGACATCTAATATGTGGGCCAGCTGGTAGAATGGTGCTTAAGGCAGCTGGGTCCCACAGGGCTGACTGCATGGTTTGAGTTCCAGACCCAGTGGCCTGAAAAACATGCCAGGCATGGGAACCAGCAGTTAGCGTAATGGCTATGTCGCTGGACTCCCACGTAGTCGACCGCGGTTCGTGTCCCGGACCCGGTGGGTCACCACAGATACTGCAGCTACCAACTCCTATGTTCTTTCTTTATATTAGTGGATTGTTTGTGTAAGAATGCCTAATATATGTATAGTTCTCCTTTTGAAATTTCCGATTATAGGCAAAGTGGGGTTTTTAGAATTATTTATTTAACTTTATCATTATTTTTTAAATTTGTTATAGGACATGTGTGCTCACTGGAGAGAGAGAGGGCAAAGGAAAGTGAGAAAGCAAGCCACCAGGTTTGGGACTTGAACTGCGATTGACTATGTGGAAGTCCAGCACCTTAACTGCTTTGCCACCTGCTGGTCCCCCTAATTTTGTAATTGGCAGTGGGTACTCACCACATGGAGAACAGATAGGGAAGGGGAAAGGGGAGAAAGCACCTTCCAGTGCATGCCACAATCCTTTGTCCTCCATTTCTCCACCCTGTTTGGATTTTAGGCATGTACATGTGTGCACCTGGTGTGTTTTTCAAGTCTCCAAGGCTGGGAATCTAACTGTAGTCAGCTACGTAGTATTCACCTTCTTTAATCATTAGGCTATGGGTCTGGCCCAACACACGGATAGTTTTTTTTTTTTTAATAATTATTTTATTTCACTTTATTTATTATTATTGTTAATTTCCAGTTTGATCAGACAGAGAAAGAGAGTGAAAGTGAGAAAGCAAGCCACCAGATTCAGGACTTGAACCACGGTCGGCTATGTGGGAGTCCAGCACCTTTAACCACCACACCACCTGCCGGCCCCCACACTAATAGTTATTTAGACTAATACAAAATGTGACTTTAATTACTAAAAATAAAATAAAGTCCAAAGTACTTACATGTGTCTTCTATGTCCTGTTGGAGACAAAGTGACAGAGAATTCAAGACTTCAAGGAGTTTACACACTTGGAAAATCAGATTTTAAGTTGCTATTAACAACTTCAGTGAAACTTGGAAAAGGAGGGGAGAGAAAAGTATATAAAATACGTATAGTTGGGAACCAGCAGTTAGCGTAATGGCTATGTCGCTAGACTCCCACGTAGTCGACGGCGGTTTGCGTCCCGGACCTGGTGGCTTAAAACTCACGCTGGGCGCGTGTGCGTGCGTGCCCAAGATCCTGAGAGGAGAATGGAGGAGAAGGGATTGCGGCGTGGCCATCCCCCCTGGGGGGTGATTTCTCGCTTTCTGTCTCTATGTCTCTCTCTGTCTGTCTGGCAAGCGCATATGCCCTATAGCAAAAATCTCTCCA